TTCACTTCCAGACAGTTCATCTCTGTTCCTTTATCCTGGTACCTGTTTTTCCTGTTTGGATTCTCAGAGATGAACGGCCCTTGGTAAATACAGATTAGCCAACTCATTAGATGTGGGATGGAGCTGCCTTCATTCTTTGATCCTGGCAGAGCCCGTGAGAGGGAAGATAGTCACCATTTATTGAGCATTGTGCCGACTGCCAGACAAATGTTCTGTCACGAGTCACTTGTAACAACCCTTGCTGCCTGGTGCCATCAAGACTCCCACTTGACAGATGGAGCCTAGACAGGTTGGGATGTTTGCCAATGTAGCAGAGTTACACACGGATGAAACTGGAGTCCAAATCCAGGTGTACCTCACCCAACAGTCTGTGATTTTCCTTATTTCTGATGAATAAGGATTCAACCTCCTGGATTGGCTGAAGCCACCTCTCTGAGCCACTCCAGGGTCCTGAATTAATCTCTTCAGGCTGCCCTTAAGGAAGAGCTGCAATTCAGGGGGTTCAGAGATCCATTTATTTATTTAGGCTTCCCTCTGCCCCCGCCTTTACTTGAGCTGTGGTCTAATTATATAGCCTAGGCTAGCCTCAAACTCTTTTCTCTCCTACCACAGCCTACTAAGGGCTGGAACTACAGAGGTGCCCAGCCACACCCAATGAACAGATTTATTCTCAGTTCTGCAGCCAGCAACTAAAGTCACATAACTGTGAGGTCATCCAAGCTCATCCATGTGTTGGGAGGGACACCTTCTCTTAAGGTTTTAGGGGAAGATCTGCCGTAGGGTTTTTCCCCTAGCTTCTGAGTCCTTCTGTTTACTTCCATGTCTGTTCACATCTCCCTTCAGCGTGTGCTCTGTGTGTGTGTGTTTCAGACATTTTGGTTTCATGTGTGTATTTTGCTTGCACATATGTATGTGTATCTTATATGTGCCAGGCACACAAGGAGGTCAGAAAGTGTCTGAAGCCCAGAACTGGAATTAAATAGTTATGAACTGCCACGTGGGTGTTGAGAATTGCCTTTAAGCACTGATCCATCTCTCCAGCCCCACGTGTGTATTTTTAGGAGTCTATAGCCCAGGTTGGCCTAGAACTCACTATGTAGCCCAGGATAGCTTGGAACTCCCAGCAGTATTCCTGCTTCGGCCTGCCAAGTGCCAGGATTGGAGTCGTGAGCCACCACCATGCTAGGCTGACATCTCAGTTTTGCTTAGAGAACCAAGGTTCAGAAAGTAATGTGCCCCGAGGTCACAGTGCTATGGAGCAGACAAAAGTACACTAGATCTTAAACAGGTAAGAGACTCAAATAAGCTCTTGAATGCTAAAGACAAGCTGACTGAGTGATTATTTTGCTAAAATCAAAATAGCTCGGATGGCTTCTTTTTTTTTTTTTTAAAGATTTTATATGTTTTTATTTAACGTGTATGAATGTTTTGCCTGCACCTATATTCACCATGTGCATCCAGGGTCTGTGGAGGCCAGAAGAGGGTGCTAGAGACCCTGAAACTGCACTGAACAGCCAGTTGTGAGCCAGCATGTAGGTGCTGGAAAACAGACCCCAATACTCTGCCAGAGCAGCAAGTGCTCTTAACCACTGAGCCAACTCCCTAACACCCCGCTCCCATGGCTTTTTATAACTTAATGGTAGTTTTAAAGAAAAAAATATCCTGACGACTCTGATCTAGGAAATGAGGATTGAGGGGAGTGACAGTGATGTCCCAGATGTTGGACCAATAAAGTTTAAAAAAAAAAAAATCTGTCCTACTAAAAATAAATGAATCATAAATGAGATAGTACTGCTTCCTAACAGCCTCCTTCCATCTCATCTGTAAAATGGTGATTTTAATACTACAAGGTTGTAAGGAGTTTAATATAATACTTAATATATAATGAAATAATACATAATAGAGTTTACATAACTATAGGTGTTAATAAAAGAATTTAGGACAGGGCCTGGTCATTGGGAAGTACTACATTGATGTTAACTTTTTTCTTCTGACAGGATGAGGATGTTGCTACCCTCTAAGCCACCTATGGCAGCAGTCTCCCATCAGCCCTCAGGCTATGGCCATTAGCCCCATGGATCATTCTCGAGCAACCCCAGAGGTTGATAGCATACCTTCTGCTGTCCGGAGTGAACCGCATTGTTTGAAGCTAAGGTAGAATCAGAAGCCTGAAGTCCAATCTTCTTTGCCCACCAGCACCAGCGCTGCCGCCATTTCTGTCTTTTAATCCTCTGCTTTCTCACTAGAGCCTCAAGTTTTCCACGTGTTGAAGTACAGGTAAGGGAGGCTTTGCTGGGACTCATGGTCCCAGCTGGATCTAGTAAGGGAGACAAATGTTACCGTGGGTTCTTCAATACTCTGGAGCCAGGGGCTGAGCTTAGAACCTCCCCTCCACCCTAGGTCTGGATATCTTTATTATTTTCTTTTGTTTGTTTGTTGGCTTTGCTTTTTGGTGCAAGGATTGAACCCAGAACTACATACTGAGCTTTTTGTTTTATTTTCTCCTCTATACTGATGGGCTGATGCCAAGTCAGAGTGATGAGAAGGGGAGAGGTTACAATGTTGCAATGAGGAAACGTTCTCCATTGCAAAGGCCCCGTTTTAGCCATCCCTGCCAGACCTTTTCATTGCTCTAAATCAGACTTTCTTCTCTGTCTCCCAGACTTTTAACCTCCAGATCTCAGGCCCTCTCTCCAGTTAGACATTTCCCTGAACCAAGGGTGTCTGTTACTTTATTCACTAAACCTGTTTCTACACAAACTCTAAGGGTGTGGGTCAGATCAATACATAAATTGGCTAGACAATTTCAGAGGCCGTCCTAGCATTGCTGTGACAAAGGATAAGTTCCCAAAGGCAGCTTGGGAAGGAAAGGGTTTATTTGACTTACGTTTCCCAGGCGGGTTCAGGGAGGAAGGACGCTTACTCACTTACTCGCTGGCTCAGCCCACCTTCTTATAGAACTCAGGATTACCCACCTGCCCAGGGGCAGCACCACTCACAGTGGGCTGGGCCATCTCTTCTCAATCATTCATCAAGAAAACGACCTCCAGACTTGTCTACAGGCCAGTCTGAAGGGTACACACTCTCCACTGAGATTCCCTCCTCTCAGATGATTCCAGTTCATGTCAAGTTGACAAAAAAAAAAAAAAAAAACCCTAACCAGCACAGATGTTATCACAATCAGAGCTATGCAAGGGAAGAGATAGCAGGGTGACCATTGCGTGAGGCTATGTAGGCAGAAAGGAAAGGTCTTTGGGATAGTTGAGCACAGATGCAGGTGGTAGTCAGGAGAAATAAGCACAAAGCCCACCTACAAAACAAACCCACTGGGGTGAGATTTCAAATTCCAAGTGCTCAGTCTTTTCGTTGTCATTTGGTTTTATGTAATTGAGACAAAGTCTTTTTACGGAGCTGGCTTAGAACTCAGAGATCCACTTGCCCTGCCTCTGTTTCCCAAGAGCCGGGATTAAAGGCTTGTGCCACCATGCCGCGCCCCAAATTCTCAATCTTTGTAAACCAGGGAAGGCAGCGGTTAAGGGAGTCTCAGAAACTCAGAAGGCAGGAAGCCTTCTCTCTTTTGTGCCATGTGGTTGGGTGGAGGGCTGCCCTCTAGTGGTTGTACAAGAGTTTTAACTATCACACCGTAGACCAGGAGTGTCACAAGTTTAGGATTTGACCGGGGTCTAAATTTATTATTTGTTCTCGTTTTTCCCACATGTATGCAGTCAACAAGTATTTCTTCAGTGTGGAGTATATGCTAGGAAACATTCTGAAAGCTGGGGGTTAAAGAGGTGAGACCGCTGTTAACGCAGCTGCTTTGGATTTAACGTCCTAGAGTTCCTTAGCCCAGTACCCTCCCTCACTTGAGCCCCACACTTAACCTCCATATTTTCCTCTTCCCTTAGGTCCTGGCTCCTTACATTGCTGGCCCAGGTCTCAGCTCAGATGAGATTCCAAACGTGTGAACTTGTTTAGCCTGCCCCAACACAACAGAAAACCCCACGAAGGGGTCTGGGAATGGCAGGCACATGTTTAATGCCAGCACTCCGGAGGCTTGGACAGATGGCTCTTTGTGAGTTCGAAGCCGGCCTGGTCTATATAACAAGCTCCAAGCCAGGCAGAGTTATGTAGTCTCAAAAATAATAAATACAAACGGGGACTAGCACTCTAAAATTAAAATACAACCCTGTTACTATCCACCTTTTTTTATCCTTTTTTTTTTTTTACACATTTACAGTCTTCTGAACTATAATTTACTCGCTGTTTGTGTGTCTTTTCTACAAGAGTGTTGGCTGCAAGGGAGCGGGGAATTTTGTTCCTCTTGTGTTCCAAGGCAGGAGCTCACTTCTCCTTCAAACTCATTATTTTCCTGTCTCAGTCTCCTCTGTGCTGGGATTCCAGGCATGTATGACATCTTCGGGATCGACTTTGTCCCTCTCAATCATAAGCCTACACCCTGACCTCGGCGCCTGGAACAGTGTTGGCACCCAATAGGTGCTCAATAACCGCTCACTGAACACTAGTAGACCTCTGCTTGCTCTTTTTCCAACAGACCTTTTGCCACCTTGTTCCAAGGAGGAAATAGGCCTCAGGAGGCGCCCAGAGGTGACCTCGGATGGCCCAAGTCAAGAGCTCCGGGAGCAAAGCCACAGGAGCAGCTGCAGAGAGGAGAAGCGAGGCCTGTCAGCGTGGGGCGCTTCCAGGAAGGCGAGCCAGGGACTGTGGGCGGAGCCGTCGGGGGCGGCGCGGGGCACGTAACTCGCACGGACACCGCCCACTGCTTTGTGGGCGGGGGTAGATTAGTGGGTGTGGCGTATGCAAATAGCCGCGGGTCGCCGGCCAATCGTGGAGCTCGCGGAGGTGCCGGCTTGGGACCGGACGCCGGTCGGCGCGCAGGCTCCGGTCGCGGCCGCTTGGAACTTGCGGAGCGGTTCTGCAGCCAGTTCCTCGGTCTCCGGATCCGGTGCGTCCGGCTGCGGGAGACAGGCTCGAGTGGGAGGCCGGCGGAGGTGCGGCTCGGCCCCGGGGCCGCAGCCTTCGCAGGCGCCCGCCGCCAGCCGCTCCTTCGCAGCGTACTCCATGCATCCGGAGCCTGCCCCGCCCCCGAGCAACAGCAATCCGGAGCTTCCCTTGAGCGGCGGCAGCAGCACTAGCGGCAGCCGCCGGAGCCGCCGCCGCAGCGGGGACGGGGAGCCCTCGGGGGCCCCACCGCTGTCGCCGCCGCCGCCGCCGCCCGCCGTCAGCTACCCGGACTGGATCGGCCAGAGTTACTCCGAGGTGATGAGCCTCAACGAGCACTCGATGCAGGCGCTGTCCTGGCGCAAGCTCTACTTGAGCCGCGCCAAGCTCAAAGCCTCCAGCCGGACCTCGGCTCTGCTCTCCGGCTTCGCCATGGTGAGCTCGGGCCTCCCTGCCCTCCTCCCCTCTTCCTGCTTCGGCCGCTCCCGCTCGCAGCCCCGACGGGGCCCACAGTTGGGAGCGGGCTGGGCGTGCCTGGGGTGAGGGGAAGAGCTGGGATAAGCCGTCCTAGGCGCCGGAGGGGAGCCAGAGGTTGCTGAGCTGTGAGGGCGAGGTGGACGACCAGAGATAGAGATACTCAGGCGCAGGTGTGTTTTTTCAGACGGACACCTTGTTGCGGCAAAGGGGTTAGGGTTTACAAAGAATGTTGCTTTCATGAAGTTGCTATGTAAGAAGTCTTCCCTGCATGTAATCAGGGGGACAAGAAGGACGCAAAAGGTCCAGCCCACTGATGACAGGTCTCAGGAGATGAAGATGAGAGCTACCTTGTGCCCGCACCTTCCCACACACCTAAGGCCGGAAGGTATTACCGAGACCTTATCAGCTATTGGAGAGGATTTCCTAATACTTTCCACCTCCCCGTACTCATCCACTAACTCTCACCCCCTTTTACCCCCCACCGCATTTTCCAAGAGCCTCAGCCTAAGGGTTGACAGCCACTCCCCACCCTCAGTTTCTTCTCCAGAAACTTGCGTCTGAGTCACTGGGTGTGGGGGAGGAGGGTGGGACATGTTCCCCTTGAACGGGCTCTTGCTTGATTAAGAGGTAGGCATATTTTCCTCCCCTCAAGTCCCAAGAAGGTGATACAAAAAGCCTCTGCAGGAGGCGTCCCTGGAGACTGCAGGTTAGGCACCAGACAATAACTCTAGGAATACCTTCAGGCCTGTTTGCCTGGAGCTAAAGCGACATAACTATGTTATTATCTTTTCATGACATCAACCTGCATCCATGGGGTCTGCCCCCCCTCCCCTTCACCAGTACTCCTACCTCCCCCATGAATTAGCTAAGCCTTTGGCCTTGAGGAAGGGAGTGGCTGGCACCCATGTGTTTTCTTGGGAAGGGAGTGTGTCTGGGTCTTTCCCCATCATCTGCAAACAAGTGGGTCAGCCCAGTTGTGAGTCTGAATGCTTTAGAGACCCACGGTGCACTAGGCCAGGGAGGAAAGGCCAGGAGAAGGAGTGAAATAAATTACTCTTCCCAGCTCTGCCACTTGCTGCTTGTATGAACTCAGGCAAATCTCCAATATCTCTCTCTCTCTCTCTCTCTCTCCCTCCCTCCCTCTCTCTCTCCCTCTCTCCCTCTCTTTCTCCCTCCCCTGTCTCTCCTCCCCCCTCTCCCCCCCACCTTGATTTCTTAAATGGCAGATTATAGCCGGGCAGCGGTGGCGCACACCTTTAATCCCAGCACTTGGGAGGCAGAGGCAGGTGGATTTCCGAGTTCGAGGCCAGCCTGGTCTACAGAGTGAGTTCCAGGACAGCCAGAGCTACACAGAGAAACCCTGTCTCGAAAAAAAACAAAAAACAAAAAAAAAAGGCAGATTATAAACTATTCTTAAAACCGACTTTAGAAAACGGAGTTGGAGGAGTCCTTTAAACAGGATAAAGAAAGTTGAGTGTGGGCTGTAATTATAGTAGTCATGAGGCAGAGGCAGGAGGATTTCCCAAGACTTCAAGACTTGCCTGTTCTACACAGCTATTCTGGTAATAGCTTGGGTCAGCCTTGAACTTGGGTCAGCCAGGGTCTAGGTCTTGCCTAGCACACACCACTACCTGAGGCAGGTAGCACCAGGCCAAGGGGAATGAGAAACAAAGCCAGAACGATTCTTTGGAAGCTAAAGAGAGAACGTTTTTACGCTTTATGGAGGGAGGGGGACAGGGAGCCACCACTTGTATGCCCCTCCATGGGCTTGTAAATTGTAACTCTCTAGACTCCAGGAGGGGTGAGGGTCAGACAGGGGACACTTTCCTACCCTTTCCCTACCCTTTCCTTTGCTAGTTCTCCTCTGCAGAAGATCAGGCCTCCGCTAAAAGCATGGAGGAAGTTAGAAGGCTGGGGTAACTAAAAACCTTGGATGGACATAGGTGCATCCACGCTGTCTATCTTGGGAATCTTTTTTTGTTTGTTTGTTTGTTTGGTTTTGGTTTTTCGAGACAGGGTTTCTCTGTGTAGCCCTGGCTGTCCTGGAACTCACTTGGTAGACCAGGCCGGCCTCGAACTCAAAGATCTGCCTGCTTCTGCCTCCCAAGTGCTGGGATTAAAGGTGTGCACCACCACTGTCCGACTTTTTTTTTTTTTTTCTATCCTGGGAATCTTATTTGCTCAGCCTGGATGGAATGGGCTCCTTAACTCCAGGTTGGCGTCCCTTAAACTCTGCAGACTAGGAAGGGTAGAGTCCCAGGACTGCCTCCATTCTGAGCAGCAGTTTCAAGAGGGCAGCTAAGTACTTTGCTCCATGAAGCTGGACTTCTAAGAACTCTGGATTCGTGGTCTGAGGGCTGATGATGCCCTTCCCCCAGTGCTGACATCCAGCCCTTGTGTGAGCCTCAAGAGAGGAAGGGGTGCCTGGCTGCCCCGATGCCATGGTAACGGAGTGACAAGTTTCCTGGATTACTCTTCCTTTGGCTTGTGAGTCAGCACAACCAACTTCCTGCCCCCAGAGGGCTTCCTTCCTACAAACCTGGAAAAGTAGAGTTGCTGACATGACCTTTGCTCTCCAGGGTGAGCCAGGTAGCATAGAATGTCAAATTCACCTGCTCATCCATAACATGAAGGTGACGGAGAGTCTCTCCCAAAAGGCTTGCTGGAAATTGAGCCAGTCCTAGCTTCATGATGGAAGGGTGTAGGCCAGGAGCCTGTAACATGTTGAGGGTAAGTGTCTAAGCGTCTTCGAGGTTAGTTTTCTTCTGTGTGGAGATGAGAGGACCCTGTTTTCCTCTTGACCTAAATGAGAGTTCATTACATGGGCCTTTGGGGAGCTGATGGGTTTCAGGATCTGATGATGTATCTGGTCTGATGATGAGACTCAGCAGATACAAAGTAAAAAGGACCTCAGTCTAGGTTAGATGTGCATTTTACAGTGTCCCTAGAGCCAGGAGCATCCTTTGGGAATGTGGTAGCACACATCTTTAATCCCAGCACTCAGGAGGCAGAGGCAGGCTGATTTCTATGAGTTTGAGGCCAGCCTGGTCTACAGAGCAAGTTCTAAGACAGCCAGAGCTACACAGAGAAACACTATCTTACAAAAAAAAAAAAAAACCAAAAAAACGCTTCCTTCAGAGCCTAGCTTTAGGTTGTCTGTACCTAAGGTTACCACAGCACAGCCTGGGCCTGCCCCTGCCGCTGCCCCTATACAGGTCTATGGTATTCATGCATGGAAGGCAGGCTGTAACATTAGCCTAAGCAGACGGTAATTGGGAAAGTCAGCCTGGTGCAGTAAACAAAATGCTTTCCACGACCTGGGATCAATTAGTTTTGGATTATCTTCCTCCTCGAGTTCTGCCCTCCAGCCCCCTTTTGTTCCAGGTTCCAGAGCAGGTTCAGAAGTCGGCTAAGATTTCTGGGAAAATGAACTGGAAGGAAGCACTCGAGTCATGAGACATTACTGGGTATTTATGACATACCCGGAGAGCGGGGTGCCCGGAGATGAGCACAAAGCTACTGTTACCACTTGGTACTAATCCCCAGAACTGATCATTAGTGCTGGACCTGATTGGGGTTCTTGTACCAGGCTAGCAACAGTGGAAAATGCTTCAGAGGTGTCATCATGGCTTTTTCCTCCAAGCATGGCTGTCCTGGATGAATGACATGCTGCAATGAAGTCACTTGGTCTGGAAGCCTTTATATCCCTCTGGGTGGTCCATGGGAAAGCAAGCCTCAGAGAGTAGTAAGGACATAGAGCCCCTGAGCTCTAGGGTAGCAAAATGGTCACAGGAACAGCAGCTACCCAGGTGCCAGTGTCAGCCCAGCCCCTTCAAACTGTCAAATCTGGGGGAAGTTTCTTAGCCTCTTTGGAGCTCAGTTCCCGCACCCATAAACGAAGTAGTAACAACAGAACGTCTTTGGTGTGCGGATTTGTTGAGTTGGTATTTGCAAGTTAGAATACCTGCCTAGGTGTCTAGGAAACTTGTTTACGCCAGTCGCCGTGGAGTGGGGGCTGCTTTCTGAAGGATAGAAGGATTGCGATTCCAACCAATCACTGAGGATGGCGGAAGTGTCCAGAGAAGAGCCTAGGAATCCAGCAAGAACAGTCTCAATCAGTCATGGGGTCTCTAGGGAAAAATAGGGCGTCATGCCACACACCAAGTCATTCTGGTGGCTGACACCTCTTAAGCCCCAGCGCTCAGGAGACAAAGGCAAGCGGCTCTCTCTGAGTCTGAGACCAACTTGGTCTACAAAGTGAGACCTGTACCCTATGGTAAAGGACCTTGATTGAGGACTTATCTAGGAAGTTTGAACTCTCCCGTGGGTAGCAGGGAACTATGGAAGATTATAGACAGAGCTGAGGCGTGAATAATGTAACAGTGGTGGTTGAAGTGGTTATTACGTAACTCTTACTGTGTCCAGTATGAGCTCGGACTCCTTCCTTCCATTCTTGTTTAAACTTCACCATAGCTCTTAAAAGTTTGAGAGCCACACAGGAAAACCAGGGTTCTGAAAGGCTCTGATCACCAGCTAGGAGGACTCGAGCTCTCTCTTCTTCTCCCTCCGCTTTGCCAGTATCCCCCGAGCTGGTTAATAACCAGGCCTTTGGAGTCTGCCAGATGCCCAATTCTGCATGCAAGATTTGTATGCTGGTCAGTGTATAAATGGAAGTCTGCTGGATCTCCCAAGGGGAGGTGGATGCCTGCTCAGCAGAGAGGCCCTTTGTGAAACTTCACAAGTGCCTGTGGCACTTTCTGGAATTCTCAGCTGGGAACAGTGAGGGGCCCTTCCCTTGATGGGTTTCTGATTGGAAAGGAAAAGCTCTTTTTAAGTAGGCTTCCCAAGGCGGTGCTCTATTGATCTGCACTGGGTAGAGGGTAGTCTGAAGGAAACGGGATATGAAGTTAAAATGTAAAATCAGCTGATTTCTCTGACAGAGCATCTGAGGGCCTTTT